AGTTTTTCTAATTATTCGGTTGACTTTTTAAAAATTTTCTTTCGTAAAAACCTTCACCTGGCAATTACGAACATCTTAAAAAAAATTTGAGACAAATCGGACCAGCCGTTCTCAACTGATGCAATTTCGAATTTTTTGTCTCCATTTTTATATATATAGATAGAAGATATACTAATTAGTAATTACCATTTTTTTGGTTTTTCTACTATAACTCAAAAAGTAATCTTGAATGTAAATTTTGAAAATACCATATTGGACGTCGTAACATGAAAATTAAAATTGGTTTACTAATTACCTTCATACCTACATAGATTCACACAATTAATATTATCACTAGATAATATTATCGTATGACATCGTATTTTGTTTTTAAGAAATTACAATACAATGAATACAAAGCAAATGAACAATTTATTATAAATCAAAATTAAACAAATATAGGTAACATACAACAGTTAAATAATTATTTTGAAAATGCTCGAACAAATTAATAACAATAATACAAATATAGGTAACATACAACAGAGTTAAATAAATATTTTGAAAATGCTGTAACAAATCAATAACGATAATACAAATATGAACACAATCAATAATTAAATCTTGATACCTTCATCCTTTTCGCGTATGGCCGTGCGACCGTATGGCCGAATGGTCTATGTGCCTGGAAGGTCTCCTGATAACACAAAAATATTATATTGTCAATATTAATTGTAATTGCAATTCACCACAATTAGCAAGCGGTATATTTCAATAATAGAAAGTATATTATTTTATAATCACAGTTAAATTTACAATAATATGTAAATTTGTGTTCAAAAGGCTAGAGTGTTCATGATATTTGAAATATAACCGTGGAATACCGATTTGTGTAGAGTTTATACAAAAATAGGTAAGTATAGTACGCTTGTACAGCTTCGGTGGTATAATATTATGGCTGTTTGGAAGTATTAATACTCACAAAGTGTTCTTTCTTAGATTCCTTTATTTCTCGTTTCTCGTTTAATTTCAAACCATTAAACATCGCCACAAGGAGGTCCATGGAATCAACCTGTTCGGTCATTTCTACTTCGAAATCGTCCACAAAATACTCGTGGCACATCATTTTCGTCATCTTCCGGAAATCGCTCGTCCGCAAACACGGACACAGTTCCAAATCTCCAGTTGTCTCCAGTACTTTCATCAGTTCGTTTATCTTCCACACGTTTTCTTTGCAGACTGTTAACAACCTATTTGGAGCTGTACAATTTGTTGAGGCATCGCAGACTCCAGTCATCGCGTCACATCCAGACACTTCGGTAGCCGACATACCAAACCAAGCCAAAAATGTATTGCTCGTCTGGATTTTTTAACGAAATATCCGCTTATTTTTATTTTTCCGATCAATCGGAACAATTTGAATTTTGAGTGAAGTAGCAAAATGCCACTGCGAAATAATGCGTCCCAGCTTACATCACATGGCACGATACAACATAATGATGTTGTACAATAAATTATAGAAAACACTTTGAAAAGCAGTTGAATAGGTTGAAAGAGTGTAGAGTGAATACTTAATAATATACCAAATGGATTTTTGTTTTATATCGTTCCAATGTAGTATACGTACTGAGTATATATACATTGTTTATTTCCGGTTTCTATGTTGGTCAGCTACTATAACAAAATACTCGCTGATTTAATTTCAGCCGTCGAATATATTATAAAGATGTATGCTTAAATATTTTTACAATAATTTATATTAATATAAAGAACATCACTGCACATATCAATCGGCAGTGGTACAAAAAAATTTGTAGAGACTCAAAACATTATACTTATTATGGCATGAAGCTCGCATATATTGTATAATATTATATAATGCATGTTCAACATAGAACATATTTGGACTTCAGCTTAATTAATTTTGTGTTTTTAGTTGTATTATTACAGTATTTATTATCAAATGTTTTAAAGGTAAGGATATTATCAGTAATCTTTAGGTGGCTTTTTCTATCTTCATTTACTGAAGTCATGCATTGGCAAACCATTTCCAAAGTCCTAAAAAAGCATTTATATTGTTATTACTTATAAGTTATTTCTTTACGGATGAAAATATTTAAATCTCAAGAATTTAAATTAGAAGAACTTAAAATAAAAAAATCTCAAAAATATAAATCACGGTTTTTTTTTTTTAGTTATTTTCTATTAAAAATTGGAGGAAATTACACATTAAATAACCAAGAATAACGGTTTTAGTTATTTTTTTGTAATTTTATAATATTAATTCAACTTACCGTATTATAATAATAACTAATAACTAATAAGTAATAACAATATAAAGATATTATAAAATATCCAAACTGACATACCGTCTCCGCTCGGAATCGTTTTTCTTATACAATTGTATTATATCACTGAATTCAAGTTTAATATACTCCATTATACATTGACCCACTTGTAACCTACTGTACGGCAGAGCGACATCCACTTACCCACTTTTTATTTTATTTTTTGACATTCAAGTTGATTTTGTTTCATTTTCTATTGTTATAGTTTAAAATCATTTGATTTATTTTATTTGATTAGTGTTGTATTGGCATTGGCTAATATGAACCGAGGGGCACACTGGGCATTTCAAAGGCTACTGGCGTACCATTACAAAATACTCCACATTCAGGAAAATTCAGTGGAGTGATTAGTATTTTTTTTTAAATACAGCAGTGGCTCGAGGAAAGTAATAAACTATTAAATGGATATCAATAGGTCTTATTCATTAATGAGTTCTGTATCCATAGAATATAATATTCAAAATTCTAATTGCTACTTGCATTCTTTGGTGGTACTTCTCTTTTAACTATTTTTGTCCATCAACCATTAGTTTATTAACAATTTTGTACATTGCATTTTGACACAACTGTGGTATGATTTAACATAATATCATGATGCTATGCTATCTATATGGCCTACATGAGGTAATTCAAAAAGTTCTGAAATAGTATTTAAAATCTTAAATCTTACAGCAACCTTATCACATACATTATTGTTTAAAATAAATGATTACATGTTAATAACAGTATTAGTTATTTTTTAAAAATATTTTCATGAGTTTTCTAAATTAAACATGTGGTCATAGCCTTTCTTAATTACCAGACATTTGTCATTATTGATTATTTATCTTATGTATGTTTATGACCTAAGTACTTATGTCCTGAACTTCTTAATAATTAAGGTCTAGTAATACTTAATGGGAAAAAAGGAACTTTCGTTATTTAATTTTCATTTAATTTAATTGGAATACGACTCAATTAAATCATAGATTACTTCATTATTGAGTACCTAAGAACTTCATAGCATTTTGACAAAACAGTGCTATTTTTTTTTAACAGGTACCTAGTGTTGTGTAGAATATTTTCTTAGCATCCAAGAAATATCTTATAAAGTTATCTAAAATCTGATATTATTAATATTAGATAGGTAGATTATTGTTTCAGATAACATCTTTTTATAGTTACTGTTTAAATATTTCATAATTTTAAGTGTTCTTTTTTCAAATTCATACATACCAGACATTATCAATTATTTATGTTGTATGACTTTGGTAAGGTTTTGAACTTCTTAATAATAAAGCTCACGAAACTTTAAAAATAAAAATAATAAACTTGGGCACTTAATTACATTTCTAATATGTAATTTGAAGTGTACTAGTTACCTTTGGTATAAAAACAAAAAAGTTATTTTTCAAATAGTGGCTATTATTATTAAAATAAATCAATCATAATAGAACAATAAACTTGTTAGTCTATATAGTCTAATAATTGCTATATTATTTTAATTTCATAATTTACGAAAAAATAAGCAGAAGAAATCATCAATATCATAATTAACAATTCTGTCTTCTTTAGAGATGCGATCAATGGATTGACAACTGCTAATATATTTAAAAAATGTGAAGAGATAAAACATATTTTGCCACTAGCAAAAATAGTTTGTGATCAAGCTCTTACCTCTCCAGTCAGTTTTACAACAAATGAGAGAACTTTTAGTAAACTTAAACTCATAAAAACCTACTTGAGGTTTACAATTAGTGACTCCAGATTAAATTCAATGATGATCCTTGGTATAAAGAATGACGTAATGGATAAAATTAATTTGAGCAATATTGTCAATGATTGGGCATCTTTAAAAAATCAAAGAATACAATTATTGTAATTTTTAAATTTTATTATATATTGATAATTGATATTTATATACCCTACAAAATTATAATCAAAAAAAAAAATAACAGAATTTTCATTTTAAATACACAATTGTTCTTTTTTTTTTTATAAAAATATAAGTGGTATATATAGGTTATTACTTATTACTAATTAAAAAGATTACCCTAGTATTATTGTATGCAACAAATTAGGATTTTTACAATATTACGGTAAGTTGTAAGTACCTATGTGGCTATGTCCTATTTACATTTAATATGTTGAATATTGATTCTTGGTCATTTGCTTATTAGAAATAATTTTAATAATTATTATTTTAATATTTTTTACCTTTTCAAATAGGTATTTTTTTAATACATTATAATGCTATAACAATATTATGCATTTCATTATTGAAGGGGCAACATTTACTTAATTTTAATCTTGTTGTAGGCCCTGTGATCTGTGTTTGTCGTAATTGATTATTAATGTGAGTACCTATGTATGTATGTACCACTTCTGCAGTTCCGCATCGACGGTTTGCCACTCGTACGCATATATATACATGTTAAAAAGTAAAAACACTAGTACACGACCACATAATATAGTTAACCATAACTTACCAGTTACTACATACATTGAATAAAAAATTTTAGTCTGCATTTTTCAGTTTATTCGCCTCCCCCCCTTGATTTTCATCTTCGGGACGGCCCTGGATGTAACTATAATAACATACTGGAAATAGGTACCTAGCTATTTAGATGTGTGATAAATCCAATTCAAATATTACAAAAATACAAACTCACCTATGTATATTTTATACAGCTATTATGACAACTTGTGAGGTTTTATAGTTTCTGATGACAGTAACACGTTCAACACAGTATATGACATCTTTACAATCTAAAATGAGAGGTTTAAAAATAAATTAAATACAATTTAAATAATATTTAATATTGTTGGTTCAGCTCCTAAATTTAGTTTTTACTTATATTATAATATATATTTATATATTAGATTCTTGTACATTAAAAAATATTTTTAAAATAGTTATAAAATAAAACTAAAAACCTTTAAAAAAAAATAAAAAATGTACATGCTTTGTAATTTATATTAAATAGTGCACAACTGATTAAATAAGCTATTATAGTAGTAGGTATCATAGATAAAATAACACTATAAATAAGCAACGCCAATGCAATCATTTATATATAGCTCATTATTTTAATTTGGATTTGAGTGATTTGACTCACTAGTGGCCAGTGGCGTACGCAGGATTTTTCAATGGAGGGGGGGGGGCTTGAAAACTAGTTACAATTTTATTTTTATTTTGTCCTGTCTAATAATTTCAGACGTTTATTTGAGGTATTTTAAAATGTTTGTAACTTTTCAACTTTTTTGGTAGAAAAAATCTGATCATAAGGTTCGATGCCCGTTGTATGTTTTTGGAAGCAAATTGGTTCTAGTTGATACTTTTAGTTTGGTAACCAGCTTGGTTATACCGTCCTCACTTGGATTGTATTTGATTAATTTAAATTTTGTTTTCTATAAATGTCAATAAAAAATTATTTATCCGGTCAAAAAGCTTAAAAATGTAATATGTAAGTTTTTATTATAGCTAAAATATTAATGATACATACTAGGCATCATGGTTAATTTTTATAAGTATTTAAAGTTCAAATTTCGTCAAAACCACGGTTAATTTGTAGTTCAAAACTTATAAAATATTAAATGTGTATACTGTATAGCTAAGGTTAGACAATTTAATACAAGGTCTTTCATACAAGTAGTTCATACTTTTACCTAAAAATTACAGATAATTTTAGAAAAATTGGTATGCAAATACAATGTTTTTCCAAAAATGAATTCATTCTGGTAAGACGTATATGAAGTTTATGTCTTGCTTACTATAGTTGACAGTTGAAACTTGATAAATATATTTTTTTAAAGTAATAATAATACCGGCAATGGGGGGGTCAGCCCGTTAGCCCAGCCCCTCCCCCCTGCAGACGCCATTGCTAGTGGCCCATGATGGCAAGATACACAAGTAGGTGCTTATTTTAATCTATGGTACTATCGAACAGTGGCTGTAAACAAATATATACTCAATTTGTTAGTAGGTACCATATTGATTATTGTACCAAGTAATACTAAGCATTTAAGTATTATTGAAATTAAATTTATAAATACAAGCTAGAAATATACCTACTGGTTTTACAATAGTTTTTTTTTTACTATTTAAGTCATTATTTATGGTATTAAGATTAAGCTATTCGTATTGACTTATTATTATTTATACAATATTATTGTAGGTATGTACGTATTCATTAATAACGTATAATTTAATAAATTTTACTTTTTGTAGCACCGACAGCCACAGACTTATCTTCTAATCCACATTTTAGTCCATAAACAAATAAAATTATTATTATTATATATACAATATTTGGCACCGCAATCAGATTTTTTTCAACTTCATAAACTTGTAACGTTGTGACTTGTGCTATTAGACGTGTACTTAAGTACCTATAGGCTATAAGGCTATACATTTAACATAATATCAGGTGTTTTTATTAAACATACTAATGATACATTATAATTATTATTTATTAATTATTACACTTGAAAAATAAATTATAACCCTAATACCTATTCTTATAACTATTTTAATAAATTTTATTGATTTTTATAGAATTCCATGTAGATGGAGTTTATACAATTTATATACATATCTATTCATATTATTGTCGCTTTAGATTATATTTTTTTTCTAAAGGAAACATCATCATGTTAATATGTAATCATAATATAAAGTTATAACATATATTATAATACATAATTTATTCACTTACCTTAAGAAGTAAATTTAAATTGATGGTAAAAATGTAACCAACTGTAAATTTTAAAGGTATTGTAACTCTTGTCATCATTATTAAAATAGAGCTTTTAAACGATTTGCTTACATAAAAAAAAGCATTATCAAAAAGGACATGTAATATTTTATCGTGCTAAAAAATATTTTAAAAATGTATTAAATTTTCAAAAACTACATTGCATATTTTTTAAATTTTAAATATTATACTTACTAAATCCATAAGCTCACTTCCATAAAAAGTATATATTGTAATATTTATAACAGCTGCTGCACTGCTCGCTATACATATTGATAATATTACTTGATTAATATAACCCTAAAAACGGTAATTATTTTTTAAATTATTATTATTGCATTAGGTACTTACGTAGGTAGTTTATTTCAAAAAAATAATTTTTTTTATGTTTACATTTAAAACTTGTTTTATACTTCGATATATATTGGTCGTATTATATATTTTTTGCATTCCCTGTCTATTTTTTTCAATTTGCAAGCTCTGTGTTTGGGTAATAAAATCTGTGTATCTATCATTTACCCAAATAGTCCCGATTACATTAAGTTAATAAAAATTATCATGAAGTGTGGACTTCTCGTTTTATATTTATTCAATTAATTTTGAGAAAATTAATGTTAAATAAGAATTTTTCCATAAGGTCTTGTATGTTATATTTTATGAATAATACTCACCCGAATAGCTTGAATCACAAAAGAAGTAGTCAAACCAAAATATATAGCATTGAATGACATTGACAGTAATATCGGTTTTGAAAATACTTTCTTCATTGTACTAAAATATCTGAAATTAATAAAAATAACAGTGTGTAATCCTTCATATTGACAGTTTTTAGTTTCTGAGCGAAGTGAAGAATGTATTGGTTTATTAATGATGTTTGGATATCTTATGTGGTTATTGTGTCTGACGAACCTTTAGGAACAGTAAAAATGCTCTATATAGTTAGTAGGTACTGTGGGAGGAAAAAAGTAAAAATTCCCAGTACTTTTCAGAACAATATTAAGAAATTGATGAAAAAAGGGGAATATGTTTACTCAAAACCAGCATTATACAAAATCATTTTGGTTTTTTTGTTCCAATTCAAAAATGAAAACTGTAGAGATTTGGGCAGTATTCAGTAAATATTAATATTAGCATTAAACATGATATCATTTTTAAAATGTTTTGGTTCTTTTTGTGCTATTTATAGATAATATTTAAAAAAAAGTAAAAATTATTTGAAATCTTCGACATTTTTTATTTTATTTTCGATTTATCAAATTTTTGTTAGTAAAGAAGTTTGAAAATTGAATACAAAATCTCACATAAATAATTGTTCAGTGTTCTTATGTTCATTAAAAAGTATTGAAATTTATTGAAAATATGTTGGTAGATACAATTACTTTTTTTTTTTATAAGAGTGACTTTAAAATATTGACAAAGTTCGTCAAAATCCCGAATGTAGATGTAGGTACACAACCGTCAACCATATACCTAATATTATTATTACGTGTCTGTATTATAAGCTTTATTTTCAAGTAGTAGGCATATTATCGTTATAACGGAAATAAATATTGCTTATTGGACAACGAAATCAAGATCGATCGGTCATCAATTATAACACGGTATAGATTTTCCAACTCACGATAATAACTTTTGATGTTGAATGATGGCATATTTAAATTTTTGTTCGTCGTTGTCGACAACAGCTTCTCTGATCGTTTGCACGATGGTCTCTATCCTGTGTTTCAAAACGCCCACGTAATATATGAACGTCGTGTTTATGAAACAAAGTTCGACGTGTGCTATGTACACGGATATCGCGTACGCCAAGTATTTGAACGCGTAAATCGCGAGGTTGTCGGCGTGCACCGGCAAAACGTCCAAGTAAGGATACGTGAACGGGTCTCCGACGCGCACCGAATCGTAGAGAATCGCGTACGTGACCGGGAATATGACGAACACGTTGGATGCTATCAGGTGGTATTTGGTTATTATGTTTATCTTCGACCGGTAGCTGTCCGGTATCCCCAGCCGTCTCGAGTACCGGTGCATCTCGCGGATGTGATCTCGATGGTAGAGCCGAAAAGCGATGTTCAGCAGTATCACGCACTCGATGAGCATGCACAAGAGCGCGAACAGCTGGATGGTCACGCTCTGCTCGGAATGCACGATCGACAAGTACGCGGCGATCAAGTAATAGAACGTGATCAAAAATTCGAAGTACGTCAAGTAAAGCATCAACTTGCCGTCGGTGCACCCGGTCATTTGCAAGAACATGTTGATGGTGTCTATGTGTTGCATCTCTGAAAGCCTTTACCGCTGCACTGTGGGCACACGGGGTGCGAACGTTTCTTTTTATATGGGCCCGTATCCACGCGGAATACCTACGTAAATAAATAAATAATACGTATAAAATTATTAATACAAATAAGGTAGGTATAATGTGATTAATAATAAAATACTGGACACAACTAGCCCTAAATAATATAATATATAGGATGTTTGTGCGTGTCGAATTAAAAACTATAATATTCCAAAAAGATTTTAACGGTCTTGGTTTCCGTACACCTATAAAAGTGGGTTAAAATATGACGTGAAAATACACGATAAATTGATAATATTATAATATAACAAAAAGAGGTAAAATAAATAAGAGGTAGAAACATGACCGTGACAAAGGTATTCCTAATAAATATTTAATTGATTATTGACCGCGATAAGTTTTTTATTTTATATAAAAACAAACGATATATACCTACAATTTTCTATATGGCGGCTACGCATCAAGTCACAAATGCTAATTTATTGGCGATCGTGTTTGTATGTCAATTATAGATATGAGTTAAAAAAAAAAACATGTTATAAATGAAATCGTCTAGACAATTTTAATTGATATGAATTATGAGCTCGTATTTTGAGATTTGACAACATATCAATCAATAAAATATTATAAATATTAAATCTACTATAGGTATTGATAATTGATATATTATCTAACTTTGTATAAGTGTTTGCCTTTAGCTTTATTGTGATGCTGAAGGGATCTTGTCATTCTGAGATGATAAAATAACAATATTGTGTAAATAAACCTTTACCTAGTTGGGTAGTTACGGACTGTTATGATAATCAGTGTTGTAAAGTATTTGAGGAGTAAAAGTATTCAAATACTTTTTTCCGTATTGAATTCTTTTTTAAATACTTTTTATTTTGAAGTATTTGAATGGTAATTGAAATACTTTTTTTTTCTATTGAATACTATTTTATTGAATACTTAGTTTTTATTCTTTTAATTCTTAATTTGTTTCTACTTATAGTTATATTCTTGTTAAATAAAAACACACACAGACAATTTGGTATCGGTTTTTGTCGATTAAATGTTTATTTTCTCCAGGAGACAGTTTATTGTCGACGAAGATCGAAAAGATACATTTGTAGTCGGTACCACTATAATTAGCTTAAGTCAATAACAAAATATATGATATGTAAATTATATTTTATAGTGTATACTGTATACATTATAGTGTATACTTTAAAATTATTTAACTATATATACGAAAATATTATTACTAGGTAATTATTAGTACCTACTATCTATTTACCAAGACAACTTTTATCAATAATTATCATTATCGTTTATCGTCGACGGCGGTATGACTGTATGAGATATCCAAATACATATTATAGTTTTGAATTAATATACAACTTTGTAGAGAAAAGTTCATTGTTGTGGTGCAACTGACATGACTGATCAGAGTTTTGATTATTACAAATTATTTCAGCACTAAAAAGTAAAAAGAATTTTTTTTTTTTGTATTTGAAGATTATTTCAAATACTTTACTATTTATAGTATTTGGGTGGTATTTTAAATACTTTATTTTAAGAGTATTTGAGTAATTGCTTAAATACTTTTAAAGAGTATTTTTTACAATACTGATGATAATGTATGTGGCTTACATCCCTTCCAATTCACCGACGGCCATCACCATATTCTGAAGGAAAAATGGGCGTACATAAAACACAAGCTTATAAGTTATAATTATCCATCGCTACTAAGGTTTACTTTAATAATTAATTTTCAATCGTTCGTCAATAAATAAAGTATATTGTTTAGTAATAATAGCACTGTATATATATATATTATATTGAACCTGTACGCCTACATCAGACTTAGCGTGCCGTAAATATTAGCGTCGAAGGTAAATTTTCATATTTTTTTTTTTTTATAACACACCTACCTAATTAGATTTATGACCTACATATTACACATATAACAAAATATATTTAGTTTTCAACTTGATTACAAAAATTAATTTAGTAGCTTACATAAATATTATCTTCTTAAATAATCCGCTTCAAGTGGACCAACCTTATCCACTCCTAACCTACCTTTATTATATCATAGAACGCGTATTTATTATAGTCTGTAAAATATTAAATTTTTATTTTGGATGAAACTGTTTTACTTTATGGTTTTTTTTAAATATTCATATTTTTTTTTTAGGGATCAAATTGCATAAGTCATAAACATACATAACAAATAGTGTTATTTTTTTACGAGAAAAATAAATATGATCATGCATTTACATGTTATTACGGTAGACAACTGATTATTATTACTACAAGTAGACATTTAAAAACATTACAGAGCCATTGGCAGATTGAAACCTGGAAATATAATAGTTGTTGGTTGTTCAGTATTCAGTATGTATGCAATTCTGTGTTCTTCACGTCCGAAGGTCTCTGACTGTTTCCCCAAATATCCTCTAGTATATTCTATTAGATATCCTCAAGCTGTTTGGTCCCAAATAGTATACTATAGGATGACTTCAATTAAGTTCATTATTTCATATTCGTCATGTTGAAATAAAATAATTTGGGTGGAGGTAGTTTTTGAATTTTTTCATTATTCTGTTTGCACTTGCTCTCCGCCGGCATCAATCGATGCAATATTTGAATGCACTATACCCGTGTGCATTATAAGTTATAAGCATAGACAATATAATAATAGCTTATAGACCATTCCTATATTAACAAAATAAGGGGTTTAGGGGTCATGGTCCGGAAAGTGTAGGACGAGACACAGTCTGTTTTTATATTATTTTATTGATCTCAACCCACTCCCCAGCAAGATTTTTTATCATTATTTGTATTTTTATATAATTGATAAGACCCCTTGAATCCCGTACCCCTCATACTTAGTTTAAGGTCTATGTTGAAACCTCAAAATATCAAAATGTTCATTCTCGCGTTATAAATTATGTTGGCCTGTCCATTCTTATATTATATCTATATAACAAAATGCATATTTTTTAATTTTGCTCGGTGACTACCTTTGTACAGTGTGCAGTCCTAGCTCAGCAGTAGCTCTAGTACAGTATTTAGCAGCATTGTTCACACGAGCCAAAGCACTAGTGCTAAGCCTATTCTGTGCCCTACATTTCCTGTAGCTCGTTCCAGTAAATTCGTCCATAACATTGTTTCATTTAAATCGTTAGTAGGTACTCGTTACCCATGCAATGGTACCATTTCTGTTCACCTCTAGACTCTAGTTCCACTCCCAGTATTTTTAGTAATTATTTTCTGGTAGCGTTCTATTAATGAAAACTCCTTCTTAAAAATTATAAGGGTACTTTAAAAGTAATTTTTTATTTTGTTCAAAATTAATGTGTAAACGTAAACTATAATTGACAAAATTGTTAACTTTATTATATAAAATCCAACTTCATACTACGAGATGACGTGCTACGTCGTAAATAATAAGACGTATAACGTGAAGAGCCTGATTTACAGGATTTCTGGGCCGGTGACTTTGATACAAAAGATGCCTCACAAAAAATCGTTAATTATCTCCATAAAAAAAATTCAAATTGATACGAAATTGGAGGAAAGGATACTAGTCAGTCACTTAGTTAATATTTCAAATTGGGATATGGTAATTGGTAAGGTATGCAGAGCTGCAGTGTTCTATTTATTCTATACACTGCACAGTGGATCAATTCACAATCCAAAATGTCAACTTTTATTCTGTTAACTTTTCCCCATGGACCTTATACTAGACAGTATATTAAGGTCTATACTTTTCCCTAAATCCCGCCTTTTAAAAACACAAGGAGAATGTAAGTCTTTTTCATCGTATCACACGGGTGATAACAGATATTGTTATTATGATAACGTGAATCACAAATCTCAAGTCTCGATATTCGATTTTAAATTAATATTTTGTGCTTCTACAAAACTTCATAGCTATAATATTTATTATTTAATGAAATTTAATATTAATATGTAATATTATACAAGTCTCATAAAATAATAATATCTTTATTTTGTTGTATACATATATTATAGTCATAGTGGAACTAAGTTATAATTGAAACAAAATGGTTGTAAGAGCGTATAATGAAGAACTAGCATATCTGGAGAAAAAATCTCCATTTAAATGGGAAATAAAGAAAGGATTTCAACCAAATATGAAGGTATGTATATGGATTTTCTTAAAATGTTTTTGGTTTTAATTAGAAAATGTTCATTTCTATAGGTTGAAGGGGTATTTTATGTTAATAAATTTTTGGAAAAACTTATGTTGGAAGAGTTACAAAATGCATGTCGACCAGGAATGATCGGTGGATTTTTACCCGGAGTAAAACAAATTGCTAATGTGGCTGCGTTACCTGGCATTGTTCATAAATCTATAGGGCTTCCAGATGTACACTCTGGTTATGGATTTGCTATAGGTTGGTTTAGAGTAATTTTTACTAAATATGTAAGAAAGTACAGTGTACCCTCAATTATCCGCTTAATAGGGTGACTTAGCATTCACGGATAAGCAAATTCTATGGAGAATCCTCTAAATTCAAAACAAAAATTCAATAACTAAACTATTAAAAAATTAGAATTATGTAAATATTGTAATGTTATATAATATGTAGTATTTAAGGAAAATTAAATGAGAACTTCTTTTATTTTTATTTTTTGGGTTAACCAATAACCTGATAATGTGGGTTGTACGTTAATTGCATTTGATTATGTACATGGTTCGTTCTTCAGAGCAGATAATCGAGAGTACACTGTAGTTGAATTTCCAAATGATTCTTACTGGGCTTTTTATATTATAGCATTATACATACAAATTATAATAATTATTAATGAAAATTGATTTCACTTATAGATATGCATTATGCGTATGTACAGTATTAGTTTTCACTAAGCATTAATTTTTATTGTTCTTTATAATTTTCATTTTGTTTTTAGGAAATATGGCTGCATTTGATATGGATGATCCTCAATCTATTGTTTCACCTGG